AAAAATGTATTACCTTTCAAGTGACCACTCAGAGCAACTGGAACTTAATTCCACTGGGGAACCCCGAGAAACACAGTAGAAATGAGCCTGAGTTACACCCCTACTCCAAGATGAGAGCTGCTACAGTTATAGGCCAACTCTGTCCGCCTCCGGTCGAGAACTGCTCACAGGAGGTGTTAACTCTCCAGCATGCCAGCCTTTCAGGACGGTGTCCAGCGTGGGCTCTAGTGGTCAGAGAAAGCCCTTGGGCCATGTGGTACACACGTTAAAGCTGGAAATTGAACCAGTGCCCATGGAAACGGGAAGGGCCAAGGGGATAAGGATGGGGCACTGTCTTAGTCCATTTTCTGTTACTTTAACAGAATATCAGGAACCTATCAGCAATAGTTTATTTGGCTCATGGATTGAAAAGCTGAGAAGTCTGTAGACATTGTGCCCCAAGCCTCCCTGCTGCGTCCTAACCTGACAGAAGGGCGAGTGAGCATTTGTGAGCAGAGTAAGTCGGGTGAAGTGTCCTTTCATCAGAAACCCAGTCCCACATTAACCAACCCACGCTTGACATAATGGCATTATAGGAATCCATTCACAAGGACGCTGCCCTCATGGCTTATCACCTCTCAAAATCCCCACTTTTTAGTATTGTCAGTGGCAATTTAATTTTTTTTTTCTGGTACTGGGAATGAAACTCATGACCTTGCGCTTGCCAGGCAGGCACTGTGCCGCTGAGCTAAATCCCCAGCCCTGGCAATTTAATTTCAACGTGAGTTCTGGAGGGGGCATTCACACTATAGCAGGCACCAACAGTATCTCCTATAGTGACTGTAGTAGTCTGTTTTTCATTCCTATAACAAAATGCCTGGGGCAGGGTACTTTACAAGGAAAAGGAGTTTATTTTTGACTTGTAGTTCTGGAAGCACAGGTCTAGGAGCCTCCTTGAAACTAGGACCACATTGTGCAGCAAGAGATAAGAAGAGTGTCTCACTGTGGTCTCTTTCCTTCTCTTCTAAAGCCACCAGGATTCAATCACAGGGCTCTACCCTAATGGCCGCATCTAATCTAACCACTTTTCAAAGTTCCCACCTCTAAGCATCATGTCCACTGGGTTTCCACTCTCTTGGCACCATTAACATGAGACTCTGGGGGCTAAGCTGTTCCCTGAATTGGGGGGTGGGACAGCACCTTTCATACCACACCAGTGGCCATCACTGGAGTAGGAGCTGAAGTTGCCCTTTGGACCATGTCCCAGACCCGATCAGCAAGAAACCTCACACTCCCCTGGTCACGGTTACTGTCCTGGTAGGGCAGGGGGACAGCTGCTCATGACCCAGGCTGAGCCAGTCAGCAACCCTCCATCCTGAGCCCTGAGGGAAATGTTTAGTAAGAGGTTGCAGCACTGGAGTGATGTAAGCCTAGGGTTGCCAGGGCCCCCATGTGGAGAAAGCCTGCCAGGAAGTGAAGCTCACACAGGTAACCCAGAGCGGCAGACAGAGGAGGACTGAGCCGTGATGTTACCTTTTGAGCACCTGGATCTAACCAGGTGTCAAACTCATGCCTGGATCTAACCAGGTGTCAAACTCATGCCCTGGGACTTTTTACTGAGATGAAATGATAAATCCTCTTCTATCTTACATTAACTGATTGGATATGTCTATCACCTAAAGTAAAATAGTCCTGAGTAACCCGTGGAGCAATCACGATTCTCCAAAGTGTGGCTCCTATTCAAGTTTCTGTTGCTGTCACCTACCGTTATTTTATTCTAGCCCCGCACTGCTTCCAGACGTAACTGACTATCTGTGGCATGGATCTTGTGTAGGTACGCCCCCTCTGCCCACTCCAGCATAGCCCACTCCATTCCCACCCACCCCTCGCCCCAAAATGCACACTACTGCTTCTTCTCCACTCATTGTTCACAGCCTAGCTCTGGTCCTGCCTCCTGCAAAGATATTCCAACCACCCCAACCACAGCTGTCCTCTAGCTATGGTCAGACCCTGTCTCAAACAAAAAAAAAGAGTGATTGTCAAAAACCTAAAAGAATTCACAGCGGGAAGTTAACATATGTCAATATAATTTCCAGAATACATTCTCAAAGATGTAAATATCCTCTAGCTATGGTCTATACTATTCATTTGGTGCTTATTACACACAACTTGGCCATGCTTACAAACTGATGTAAATATATGTTCTCCCAGCTCCGCATCAAGACAAGAAGCCATATATGTGACTGCTTGTGTCTTTCACAGTGTTCCAAGTGGACGACTACCACAGTATTCAGAACAATGCTCTGGTTGGCTCAGATCTCTTTTTGGAAGTATCTTAAAAATAAGCAGACGGCTATCGCAGTTTTGGTTGGTTGAATGAAGAGCCCAGAGCACATACATTTCTTACTTCTCCATTTTGCCTGGAACTAACTGAGCTTAATGCTATTGAGGGAGGCCCAGGAGGGAATCTATCACTTCCCATACACAGTCAGGTGCTCTGAACAATTATTTTTTCTTGGCTACCCAAGGCTAAAGCTTGTGGTATCTACCACCCCTGACTTCCCAAAAGCCTTTACATAATCTCTCCACTTTTTCAGGATATTCACACTCTGTGTATGTCTGTATGTGTGTGTGTGTGTGTGTGTGTGTGTGTGTGTGTGTGTGTGTGTGTCCTTAGACATTTCTCAGCTTTCCACGCTCCTGGTACAAATATGTGGCTTAAGCTTTGCCACATGACATACTGATTTGGACTTGAGCTCCATGAGGAAATAGAAAGGGTGCAAGCACAAATTTTGTGAGTCCAGGTTGTAGCTGGTGCAGTAGCTGGGGGAGACAGTGACAGCCCCTTGCCTTTAGTAGAGGTAAGCACATCTATGATTGGTAGAGGCAGTGGCTCCCTACCAACATACCTGTGCTATGTGGCCTGGAGTGTGGCCCTCTAGCTTTTCTGACAAGTCCGCAATCCTTCTACCATCTCCAAATAAACCTCCTCTGGCTTACCTCCTAAAAGTGAACTAACTCCAAAAGTGAACTCTGCACCTGCAGCTGGGCATTCTGATCAGTCAGCTGATGTCCGTTGCCGGGCAGGGTGGCCTTCTCCGTGTTCCTGAATGGAAGTCATGTCACCCTCCCTGGCTGACGGCCAACTTCAATTCTCCCATAGGTCAGAACCTCCAGGGCCCTTGGCTCCATAGTATTGTACTGCTGGTATCCTGGAGGATTTTCTTGGCCTGAATAAAGATTTACTCATTCACTTTTAGTTTACTGGACGATTCCACTAAATAAATGTAAAATCACTCTGCATCTCCTAAAGATTTTCATGGCACTGAAAATCCAAGGTTAAAAAAAAATACTCAACCCTCTCTCCCAGTGTGAAGCTGCTTTGAAGCCTTCAGCCCAAGTTCCTCTCCTCGGGTTCCGCTGTTGGTCTCTGACTCAGCTAATTTTCCCCCGCTCTGGGCCTCACGAAGACCTTCCTTGTTCCCCCACCCTTTCTGTGCTGGGGGGCTAAATCATGTTTCCCCTATAGTGCCTGATTACTTCCCAATAAAACTTGGCCACATGTCCATGCGCTCTGAGGCTCTGATGCTGGTGTTATGGCAGAGGCTCATGCTTCACAATTGCTTTTCTCTTCTGCTTGACTCAGTTCTGAGGAAATACCTTTCATCCCTCTGCTTCCCGCTCTTCTCTCCATTTGGCTGCAGACAAGGCCAAGGAATTCCCCAGTCAGCAAACTGGGCCACTTGTTCAAATTTCACAGCCTTCCTTAGGGGTGCCAGTGGGGCAGAGCGGATAGGATCAAGGGGATTCCCTGATCTTCTGCTGTGAAAGCAAATGCATGTTAGGTTTATCTCTCTGTGGTCACCAAGGATTCTCCCAAGACATCCCATTATTCATTCATCAAACATCTGTTCCCTGCAGGAACAACTCTGGACTGAAACCCCACAAGGGAGTAAGTTCTGGGTAACTTGCCCATCACAGGCAGGGTTCACTCCACAAGTCCTTGCCAATAGCTTAAGAGGAAACAAGGACCCATGAGGCCCCCCAACTTTCAGGCCATGTGACCTTCTTGGCCCCATTCCAAGGACGTTCTGTTCCTCTTGGAGTGATGGCTTATTGAGGAAGTGGCTGTGTCATATCTGGGACAGGAAAAAAGTTATTTCGATCCCTGAAATAGTCACTGAGTTAGCACAGCCTTTTCAGGAACTGCGTGGCTGGCGGAGAAAGACCAGTCCTGAGGGAAGGCAACTGGGAGCTTGCGCTGCTAAGCAGAGGAGGACCACCTGGAGGAGAAGAGGGCCAGGTTGCCATGTCGATCCCCCAGAAGACGCCAGCCGTGAAATAGGCCAGGGTGGGGAGGCAAGGAAGTCAAGATGCAGAGGTCTCCCCACATTCTCGTGCACATAGGGAAGGGGAGAAACGGCCTCGCGCTCAGAGCAGGCTTGGATCCTGCTAGCGTTTGGGTCTGGGACGTCACCCAAAGGCCCACGTGTTAAGGTATGGTTCCCAGCCTGCGGCACTGCTGGGCGGTTTCAGGATCTTAAAGAGATAGGGCCCAGTGAGACGTCCTCAGGCCACTGAGGGTGCGGCTGGAAGGCTTCCTCATCCTCCCTTTTCATTCTGGCCACGAGACGAGTGGCTTTGCCGTTTGTTCTCCAGCATGATGAGCCACCTTACTGCAGTCCCAGAATCAATGGGGCCAGCAGGTCACAGACTGAAACCTCCAAAACTGAGTCAAAATAACCCTTTTGTCTAAGTTAAAGTACCTCAGGTTGGGCATGGTGGAGCACGCCTGTAATCCCAGCACTCAGAAGGCTGAAGCAGGAGGATTGCCAAGAGCTCAAGGCCAGCTTGGGCTACAAAGTGAGTTCAAAGCCAGCCTGAACTACATAGCAAAACCCTGTCTCAAAAACAAAAAAAAAAAAGGAAACAAAAATCTCATATAAATTCCAAAGTACGCTGAGCAATGGGAGTTCCCAATAGCTGTGAAGGCCTCTGTCTGGCTTGCAGGCCTTCCCTGGGTGCAGTGAGACACTGAAGGAGCCTCGTTTGTACATTTCCTTCAGGAATTCTGAGAATCAGGTCCCAAACTCAGCATTTTCACATCACTAGGGAAGACGGGGAGGCGGGGCGGGGGCGGGGGGACGGGTTAAACCAGAGAGCTCGTGGACCCACATGTGCTCCCGGTCAGAGGTCTGGCCACCACTTCAGGGAAAACTGAGACAGGCAGAAGGCTTTTGTCCGGGGAAGGTGATGGTTTCATGGCTGGGCTGTTTACCGGGCCACTTAGCACCCTGTAGGTGCTCAACACCCAACATGTATTGGGCGAACGGGGTTCATCTTATGTGGAGAAACTTTGTGGCAGTCTACATTCTCATTTTCTTCAAGAACAATACTACGCGTCCATCTGAATCTCAGGGTAGTAAAATGAGTGTGGATTTCATTTCTGACCTTTCAGTCAATTACGTTAATCTTCTTTATTTGCCTGATAGGTTGAGAGAAAAAAAAGAAGCATTCAAAGGCAGAAAGACATCCAGGTGTGGTGGTGCACACCTGTAATCCCAGCCCTCAGGAGGCTGAAGCAGGAAGATCGCCATGAGTTTCAGGCCAGCCTGGGCTACATGAGCGAGTTCAAGGCCAGCCTTCCCTACATAGCAAAACCTTGTCTAAAGAAAAAAGCAAAAAGGTAATAAATCTCATTTCAAACCCAGAGTTGTGTGTTTATCTTTAGGGAACCCTGGCCTCCTCCAGCGGTCTCTCCATTATCATACAAAAATAACATTCCAAAGCCAGGCCTGGTGGCACATGCCTATAATCTCAGCACTTGGGAGGCTGAGGCAGGAGGATTGCCATGAGTTCAAGGCCAGCCTGAACTACATAGTAAGACCCTATCTCAAAAAAAAACCCAAAATTCCAGAAACTCCAGGGCAACACTATTTTAAGCATCTAGTTGAAGATATTTCCCATACTTGCAACTATCTTGCATTCTGCGTCCCTGACAGACATCACTAATCTATGCCACTGACCCGCAAACTCCCTCAACACTGCATTCCAGACAGCCACTACCAATGAATTAGCATTCACAAATGCAAAGAGTTCAGTTTCATCCTTGCTCTGTGCATGGCAGTGTGCTATGCTTTTGTATCTTAATCATTCTGGAAATCTTCATACTACTCTTTATACTAATCAGTGAGCACTGAAATTATAGAGCCGCACATCTGAAAGGGAATTTAGAAGTCATCTAATTTAATTCAAAATGTGAAATGAGCCTGCAGCGCCCTGTATCGCAGGTGAGGAGGCTAAAGGGCAGGTTCGGCACCTTGCCCAAGGGAAGGGTTAGTTAGTGCCGTTCACAGACCCTCACATCTGCGCAGCACCTTAGAGACCACGAAGTGCGGTTGCCAAGCATCTTCTACCGCCCTTCACTCACTCAGTAAATATTTACTGATTCCTACTCTGTTCCATGCGCTGTGCTGGAGATCAGGAAGCCAGCAGTTGGAGGAGGTGGGGGAGAAAGGACAAAAGCAAGAAAGGGAGAAGAAAGAAAGGAAGGAAGGAAAGAAGGAAGGAAGGGCCTTTGACTCCTTCCATACATCGTAGAAAGCCTTAAAATTCCCCTATGGCAGTGGTGGCACACCTATGGCATGTGTGCTGCAGCGGGCACACAGAGCCCTCTCTGTTGGCACATGAGCCAAGTTGCCCCAGCAGCAAGCATTGGATAATGTTTTCTCTAAACTAAAACCTCAGCATTCAGGTTTAATTGCAGTGTTGGCACTCTGGATAAATAATTGGGTTTGGGGTGGCAGTCTGGGCACTCGTGTTTAGAAGGTTCACCGCCACTGCTCTGCTACCTAAGCAAGGGAGACAGTACTGTCCTCGGCTTTTTAGGTACCGGGTGGATAACAAGAGACATTACTATGACACTGCTTAACTATGGTAGGTCTAGAATTCACAACATCCTTCAAGTCACCCCTTTTGGATGAGGTCATTACTGCTGCGATATGGGGGCACCAAATTTCCAGGCCTATTGGCCATTTCTTCATCAGCTCACTGTTCATTTTGAGCTATTCAAAGTATGAAGGAAACTTCCCGGTTCTACTCCTCTATTTAGAGAATGACAGTGGTATGGTTTGTGTCTGGATGGACCCCCAAAGCCTCATGCAGTCATGGGGTGGGCTTCTAGAGTTTATGATTGGCCCATGGTCCAATGCTGGGATTACGGGGGTGAGAGCTATGCCAGCCCTGGGGCAGGCAGCCAGCAGACAAGGTAAGGAAGGGAAAGAGGCTTGCTCTTCCCACTGCAGCTCCTCCCTTTTGCTCCTGTTGCTTTTGCTCTTTTCCATTCCATGAACTGTTGCCCTCTGCCATGTGCCACTCTGCTTTGGAGCCAGCCAAGCATGGACTGAAGCCTCCACAACTGTGAGCTAAATAAGCCTTTCCTTCCTTAATTCTGGGCGTCAGGTATTTTGTCTCAGCAACGAGAGGAAAGTAACCAAGACAGACAGTAAATTCTCCCAACTCTGTTGAAACCATTTCAAAAGGCTTTTTTTTTTTTTCTGAAGACCTGTGCCCTGCCTGCCCCTGCAGCCCACACAGTGTGGTGGGAAGAGTACACACCTGGAGCGCACAGTCCTGGGTCTGGTCCCACTGAGCATCTGGCTCACCTTGGACAGCATCACATCTCTAGGTTCCCACTTCCCCATCTGCACGGGAAGTAGGCTGAGCCGTGAGATCTCTAAGCTTCCTTCCCACTGGCAGCTAATGACTCTGCCTGACCAAAAAGGAGTCAGGCTGCTCAGACGCACTTCACTTTCTTCTTTGACCAGATGTTCTGTGTAACAGCTGGCTCTGCAGCCCAGACCACCAGAACACTGCAGCTCCAGAGAAGGCACTGTGGTCCAGCAAAGCCTAAACCCCAAATTCTGATCACAGATCCACGGGTCATGTGAGCTGAGGGAACTGGGTGTGCAGGCCACCGTTGCCTCATCCCTCACACAACAATGGTACAACTAAAGAAGAAGCCGGGTATTTAAATGCTTTAAAACATTTTCATGTGCCCATTAAAGGGAAAGAGAGTTGTCCTAAGTTACTATGGAAATGATGTTTGGGTTGGAATCTGTTAGGCTAAAGACAAAAAGACCTCTGCAAAAATTCTTCAATTTAGTGAATAAATTAGTTTCCCAGAGGGGTGTGGATTAGCACTTCTCAGACTACTTTGGACGCACGCTAGAGTTGAGCGAATGAGTAAATCAGTTGTAGATCATGGGAGCTGTGTTTCTCGCCATCAGAGAAAGAAGAGGCAATGAGAGCAGGTGGGAAGTCAGAACAAACCCTGTGAGGTGGGGT